TCTGTAATTTTGTAAATAAATTCAGTGCAAGTCTACGGGAGAGAAATATTACAGCGTTAAGACGGGGTGAGATAGAAAGAAACCCTCCTGCTCTGTTGTCGCTGAGCTTGTCCGTCATGTTGTTCCACTTCCCAAAAACAGAAGCATTTTCTTTCTCTTCCTCGTTCATGTCACTTCACTTGGTTGATAATCATCAGTGCTGACTTTACCTTAAGACCCTCTTGATCTAAAATAAGAGAGTTTTGTACTTGACTGTATTTGCACATCGACAGTAAACAAAACTGTAGGTTTTTTGAATGAAGTAAATAAATGGCCATCAATCACAACCGCTACAGGCTCCAACAACGTTTAAGTGTGAGTTTGGCTGTATTTACACCACCACCACCTGCTGCTCTCTATTGTTGTGCTTTTGTGCCTTTGATTTGTCTTTATGTCGTTTTTGTTTCCCATAAACATGTCTTGGTTAATGCTTATAACAAATTTTTATAGTAATATTTAGAGAACTAGTTTTTTCCAGGCAGCCAAAGTGAATGTTTGGAATGAAGAACTCCATGTTAGCACTTTATGAGCTTGGTGATCTCATAAAAAGAACACTACTGAACTGCATACCTGAGCTCTCATTCACCTGAACTATAGTCAAGGACCTAACTGAATAATGAACAATCTTTGTAAGTTAGATTCTGGATACATGCAGACTGCAGCCAAAAATTCATATTAGTGTTGCTAAATTTTCTTCAAAAATATGTCCTTCAGTCGAGTACAATAGAACTCAGGATGACTCTCTGATATTCTACTAATCATCGTTTGATTTTATTAAACAGAAACTGTTTTCTCACTTCTTGTCCTCAGAGTGTGGATATGTCTGCTGCCAGCTGTCTGCTGACTGAAGATCAGTTTCTGTGCTCCATCTGTCTGGATGTGTTCACTGATCCAGTCAGCACACCATGTGGACACAACTTCTGTAAAACCTGCATCACTGAACACTGGAATATTAATGTCCTGTGTCAGTGTCCCAACTGTAAAAAGGTTTTCTACTCAAAACCTGAGCTGCAGGTCAACACTTTCATCTCTGAGATGGCTGCTCAGTTCAGACAGTCAGCTCAACAGAAAGCCAGCAGCAGCAGCTCAGAGCAACAAGCTGCCAAACCAGGAGAAGTTCCCTGTGACGTCTGCACTGGAACCAAACTGAAGGCCCTGAAGTCCTGCCTGGTGTGTCTGGCCTCCTACTGTGAGACTCACCTGGAGCCTCATCTGACAATGGCAGGCCTGAAAAGACATCAGCTGATCGACCCTGTGGAGAACCTGGAAGGCAGGATGTGTACGAAGCACGATAAACTGCTGGAGCTGTTCTGTAAGACCGACCAGATGTGTGTCTGCATGCTCTGCACTGTTTTAGACCACAAGACACATGATGTTGTTCCTCTGAAAGAAGAATATGAAGGAAAGAAGGCCGAGCTGGGGAAGACAGAGGCTGGAACTCAGCAGATGATCCAGAAGAGACGACTGAAGATTCAGGAGATCAAACGCTCAGTGGAGCTCAGTAAGGAAGATGCAGACAGAGAGATAGCAGGTGGTGTTCAGGTCTTCAGCGCTCTGAAGGAGTCTGTTGAGAGAAGCCAGGCCGAGCTCATCGACACGATCAAAGAGAAGCAGAGAGAGACAGAGAAACAGGCTGAAGGCTTCATCAAAGAGCTGGAACAGGAAATCTCTGAGCTGAAGAAGAGAAGCTCTGAGGTGGAGCAGCTCTCACGCTCTGAAGACCACCTCCACCTCCTCCAAAGCCTCCCGTCCCTGAACGCTGCTCCACCCACCAAGGACTGGACAGAAGTCAGCGTCCGTCCACCTTCATATGAGGGGACTGTGAGGAGAGCTGTGAATCAGCTGGAGGAGACGCTCAGTAAACAGATGAAGAAGCTGCTTGAGCTGAAGAGGGTCCAGCAGTATGCAGTGGATGTGACACTCGATCCTGATACAGCACATCCCAACCTCATCCTGTCTGATGATGGAAAACAAGTTAAACATGGTGATGAAAAGAAAAATCTCCCAGACAATCCAGATAAATTTTCTGTTTGTCCCTGTATATTAGCAAAGCAGAGTTTCTCTTCAGGAAGATTTTACTACGAGGTTCAGGTTAAAGGGAAGACAGACTGGGATTTAGGAGTGGCCAGAGAGTTGATTAACAGGAAGGGGCTAATCACACCAACTCCACAGAATGGTTACTGGACAATATGTTTGAGGAATAAAAATGAGTGCAAAGTTTTTACTGGCCATCCAGTCTGTCTCTCTCTGAAGTCTCAGCCTGAGAAGGTGGGGGTGTTTGTGGATTATGAGGAGGGTCTGGTCTCATTTCATGACGTTGATGCTGCAGCTCTTATCTACTCCTTTACTGGCTGCTGCTTCACTGAGAAACTCTACCCATTCTTTAGTCCTTGTAATAACAATGGTGGTAAAAACTCTGCCCCTCTGATCATCTCTCCTGTCAATCACACTGTTTATATGTTTAATGTAATAAAGAATAAATTAATGTAAATATTTATATAAAATACTTTGACACAAATTTCACTGCTCTGATTGATTTTATCTAATTTTTTCTAATAACTGCATTACCTGCCTTCAACACTGTTAAATCATCAGAAAACAATGTTCTCAGAAATAAGAAGCATTGGCACCATCAGCTGTTCTCAGACGTGACTCGAGCTGACGAGCTCCAATCCCCCATCACATCTGAGACAGTCTGCAGTGGAAGATAATGTGGTGTTATTTAAGGTTTGAGTTGTGTTTGAGCAGCTGATATGAACACTATACCAGAGCTACTAGTTTGTAGAGAATAAGTGACACCTGAGGTCGCCCTCTAGTGGAGTTTATAACAAATTGCAGACTGTGGCCACTCACTCTGAATAAATAACTACACAGTCTGATGCGGCAGCAGATTACATGACTGCAGGAGCTCAATGAGCTCTAATGTCACTGATGAGCTTTTTTAAAAATGTGTTCTTTTAAAAAGAGAGAATCAGAGAGAGAAGCCCATTAATCTGCTGCTGTGGCCCAATCAGAAGGATTCTTCATCTCAGTCTGAAACTCTTATTTTCCTCCGTCTAATGTAATCTGTGAGAAATCTTTCAGAGGGAAAAGCTGCTCAACACTTTGGAGAACAGCAGTGAAGTGCAGAGGGATTAGTTGCTGTGATCAGGGTGCCCCCAGGATTCTCAAAGTTAAATTTAAGACCTTTGTAAAGACCACCTAGGATGAAATTTAATACCAACTTCACTGCTGTTTAATGGGAAATCTGTATTAATTTTAAGTCCGTGAATATTATGTACAAAGTTACATGAATTTAATAAAACATTTTATTATAATACATTCATATAAACACATTATAGCTTTTTGGGGTGTATTTGTACTTTGATAAGTTAAAATGAATCAAGGACGTCCCTTTGGGTAGAAAATGTTTTGTGGCAAGGACATTTATCCTCCTCCCACTGCTTCTCCACAGGGGTGCCCCAAGGCTCACTGCTAGGGCCCTTTCTCTTCTCAAATTACACCGCCACACTGGGGCCGATCACTCGCTCGCACGGCTTCTCTTAACACTGCTACGCAGATGATACGCAACTCTGCCTATCCTTCCCGCCAGACGACCCATGGTCTCGGCGCGGATCACAGACTGTCTCTCGGACATATCTGCATGGATGAAGGCTTGCCACCTTCAACTAAACCTCTCTAAGGCTGAACTCTTGGTCATTCCAGCCAAGCAATCTGTCCACCATAACATCAAACTACAAATTGACTCCTCAATCATCACTTGGGTGTCATGATTGATGACCAGCTGTTTTTCAGACCATGTTGCTGTTGTCTCTCGTTCGTGCCGCTTTGCTCTATACAACATAAGAAAAAGTCATTTGAGCCTGAACGCTGGTGGACAGCTGACTGTAGATACTTTACTAAACTAAATTCTGTTTTAGTGGCTTGACCATGAGATGGGGCTGCAGGTGTGCATTTTATTCTTATGAGAGAGAACGTCCTCACAAACACAGAACTAAAGGGACAGTTGAAGGGAATTTAGTTTGTTGACTTCTGTATGATGGTAAGAGCTGAGATTAAAAAGCAACAAGTGAGCAGGACGAGAAGGTTCAGGTCACATTGGTTCAGTTTTAGATCATCAGGACATTTTGTCTGGTCCTCACTTCCTGTTACTGTTGAGGTAAGAATCATGTTCAGGTTAGAGGTCCGCATCAGATGGAGAAGCACCTCAGCCCTTCACATTTACACTGCTGCTGGTGGCATCGAGACGCAGACGTCTTCTTTAGTCAGAAAACATTTAGCTGAGTTAAAACCCAAAGTTTCCTCTTACAGCTTCATCAGGGGCCAAACAGGACACGCTGAAAACCTCTTTATGTACAATTTCAAACATCATACAACAACATTTTTATCAAAACAGTTGGTTTTGGGTTTAGTTCAGTGTATCAGTGCTTGTGTGTGTATGTCGTACTTCTGGCAGCGTCCACACTTGATGAGGCTGTTGGCCTCTTTGACAGACGAGTCGTACATGAAGCCGGGATACGCCGTGTCACAGGGCAGCAGAGGCTCCACCTTCCTCTGCTTATGACCTGAGAGACCACACACACACATTAATTCACAGAGAGCAAACAAATGGCTTCCTCTATTTAATCTAAACTAAACTCATCAAGATAATAAAAAACAACCGCTGAAATGTGCGTGAACAGTTTTCGTCATCTTTTTGTCTCTGTGAGGACGTTTCCTCTATAAATACAGACACACTTTACTCACTTGTATGATAACCAGCCTTGGCTGAGTGGATGAAGATCACAGAGAACACACCCAGGTGATGATGATGGTGGTGAAGATGAGGATGGAGATGATAATGAAGACGAGGCCGGCATTTTGAACAGAATGATTGTAAATGAAACAAAGCAGTGATAACATGAAAAAAAAACAAACAAACACCTGCCCGTCTGTCTGCTCTGACAGAGTCGACTCTTCTCTATTTGAATCTTTTAACATGTTTTTTTCTGTCCTTTGTTCTGATCGGCTGCTTTCCTATTTGATGTTTCAGTAAATGCATCATATCAGATTGTTTACGTCTGTTTACGATCTGTGATGTTGATGGTTCACACATCTGACTGACCACAAAACAACAACAAACAAAAAGAACAACAAGAGAACTGAGGAAGAACAAATGTCCTGGGGGTTTACCTGCCAGCCAAAGATTCAAAGACACTTAAGAGTCCACAGTCATGCTTGCAGTTCTGTGAGGCTGCACGTGAGCACAGTTGCGTTTTGAGCTAAATGCTAACATGCTAATACTTTTCAGGTATAAAGTTTAACATGTTCACCATCTTAGTTTAGCGTGTTAGGATTCTAACATTTGCTAACTAGGAATAAACCCAAGGTAGAGCTGAGGCTGATGGGAATGTCATTAGTTTTGCAGGTATTTAGTCATAAATCAAAGTATTGGATGCATTAAATTGTTGACTGGATGAAAAGTCAGAGGATCACTGAAGTTGTCACAGTTCCTCCTGAGAGGAATGGGAGTGTCTGAAGCACATTTCCAGACAACCCTTCCCATAGTTCAACATCCAACAACACCCAAGAGCCACACAGCTGAACTGTGCGACATCATTCTGCAGCGAACAGACTTCAGTCTGATTTAAATTCAGTTTAATGATCATCAGAACTTCTTACCGTCCACAAAATAATCAGAGTGCCAGAGACCACAGAGATTAAAGTCCAGCAGGAACCTGACAGGAGACACAAACACACATTAACCAGAAATCTGTTTATGTCCTGAGGAACACGCAGCACTGTGCTGAATCTGCATCACATCCACGTCTCACAGCAGATCTTACTTTTAATAGATATGAACTGTCAGTCAGTAAAAGTCTCTTTCTGTTCAGTGATCCAGAACTAATCTTAAGGAACCGTTATATATCCTCTTTTTCTCAGAGGTGGTTTGTCTTACATTAAGACTGTTTGATTTATGCTTATTAAAAAACATTAAATTCAGCACGCTGGCTCATTAATATTAAATATTTCCCCAGCACATATTTCACATCCATTTCAGGTTTGAGATGGGCACCGATCCAAACTCTCACAGCACCTTTAACACAGCTTGCACCTTTTTTCAAAGATTAGAGACTTTACTAAATATACATAATGAGCACGGACATTTTTAAATATATGCATTTGCTGGTTTGAGTCTCAGTTACAGAATTGCTGCAATGTTCAATAAGGACAAGAGACTCCAGATCAGCACAGCTCTGATTAATTCAGCTCTTATTTATTCCTTTAAAACTTTGGAAATGTACATTTGTTCCTTGAATTAATAATAAAACACGTCATAAATCCTTCAGCTGCATCGCTGCAGGTGTGTCTCATGTCCCTGTAACATCCTGTTTGTTTTTTAGTTCCCGTCACTCTCCACTGATGAACTGATGAATAAACAGCAGCTGACACTTACATGAGTGCGTTGGAGAAGAACCATCTTATCAACGCCGCGATGACATAAAACGGCTGCAGGAGAAAAAGGGAACAAGGAGTTAACAGAAGAACTGCTAAAAACATTACTGACAGATTATCACGCTTCAGCTGTAACTAACTCTAAAAGTAGGAAAATAGAAGTACTCGATCACTGTGCAGCGGTGAGACTCACACTGAGCAGAGGTCGGGCGCTGCTGGCGTGATGATGACTGTTCTTACACATCGCCTGGTAGTCAACAACGACACTCTGCAAACAAACATTCAGATGAACTTCAGTGACATTTACAGAGAGAAAAGCTCATGGCGTGCTTCACACTTCCCTAGATAGTAAGAGACTCTAACTCAATTTACGTGTGTGCTTTAACAAGGTCATTAAATTCAAAACTACTTCAAATGTATTTTTATAAACCAACATTAGTTAAAGGGCCACATCATGCAACTTCCTGAGGAAGCTTTCTAAACACCTTCCTAACATATCTCCTCTTAACATATCTTATGAAGTACTTTTTATGTCCATCAGTCGTACTTTTTGAACATTCCCATCTTGATCAACGACCCATGACAGATCCGTCCACCTCGCCAAAGAAACGACCGACCTGGAAAATACAACGTGAACAAAGTTTGTTAGTTTGTTATTCTAGTTGAGCAACACAAACACAACACATCCATCCAGAAAGAGACAGCTGGAGAGACTGCATCATCAGTCACAACACAGATGATTACAAAACTAACATGTTAGATCATTGCGTTCTCTTATTTTCAAAAACGCTTTGGTGGACACGAGCCCTAAGGAGGGGGATATATTGAGACCGATGTATTTGTTGCTGATGTCGATTTCAGTTGACACAGAAGCTGTGGCAGCTGTTGCTACAATTAAAATAGAAATGATTGTTGCTTATTTAGTCAGAAATATTTAATGTTAAGGTCTGTACAGCTGCATAAATTGCATCGATGCTTGTTGACATTTCGTGGTCATTTTTCTGTCATGGATTTATACAACCAGGGAAACAGTGAGCACAGCATCACGCCTGTTTGAACCGCTGAACACATCTGAGACTAGAGCGACGATTACGAGGTCTGGAAACAAGCTACGTCGTGCCTGTACACAGACGAAAAAAGAAAACCTGCGGTCACCAACGGTATCCGGAGCAGGAGACGCTGCACTGAAGTGGGAGGAATACACTGTTCTCCTTCTAAAACCACAAACTGTAGTTTTGTGTTTTCTGTTTCAGATTAAATAACATATAATGTGTTGATTAGTGAGCTTTAGAAGTGCTGGGAGATGTTTTTTGAGCTGTTGACTAGGCTAACTGAGGCTAGCTGTTTCCTCCCTGCTTCTTTATGCTAAGCTAGGCTAAGCATATCCTGACTCCAGCCCCGTAGGTAACAAACAAACATGAAACTGTAAATAAAGAATAAGCACATTTATCTTCTAGTTTGCCCACATACATCTCACTAACCAGATTCTTTTGTCTTTTTTTTTTTTTTTGGTCAATAATGTTTTGATCCTTATTTTGCTTCCCAGCTGCTGTGGCTGTGATTTAATTTTGTTCAATTCACCTCCAGTTTATACAGAGACAGAGTCATAAATTCAATTATCCTCAAGCAATTTTTTTTATTCCTGTAGGAAATGGTCTCTTGGAAGTGTCCCACAGTCTACTTCTTATAGAAAAGACTAACAACATAACAGATAGATACATAAAAAATAAAAAGGTCTGGTTATTGAGTAAAAATACAGGGAGGTTTCCTCAGGAATAAAACATGATTTGAAGTAATTCTGTGTGTTGTCGCAGCGTGTCTGTCCTTTCTGGCCCTCAGCAGCAAGTCTCTGAATTATTCAGAGCGTTTTGTCTCAGCTCGGTTCACGTTTACATCTGCTCTCTGCCCACACTTTATCTCCATCTGGAGAGGACTTTCCCAGCAGCCTCGGAGGACTCGCAGGTTTGCTGAGCGGTAGCTATCGGATACTGCTTACACCGAAACTTGACCCTCTGTTTATCTGACAGCAGCAGCAGCAGCAGAGGGTAACATGCTGGAATAAACAAAAAGTAAGGGCAGTAAAAGTGCCAGAGTGAAACTCCTGCCAGGAGCTCTGCTGATGTACAGAAGGAACAAAATCAAGTTCAATTCTGCCTTCAGGCTGTAGAAGGCTTTCAACAGA